ATTTGGAACTGCCCTCCAATGAGGATCTCTGTTTTCTACTTGATGTGAGCAAGAAACCAATCCTTACTGTGTTTCAGCTACCATGTATTTTACACAGTTTTCACATCCTATACAAAATATGGATTTTCCCAGCACTTTAGGAGGCTGAGGAGGAAGGATGGCTTGAGCTCAGGAGTTCGAGACCAGTCTGAGCAACACAGTGAGATTTTTGTCTCTATAAAAAAATTTAAAAATTAGCTGGGGTAGTGGTGCCTGTCAGCTACTTGGGAGGCTGAGGCAGGAGGATCACTTGAACCAGGAGACTGAGGCCGCTGTGAGCCGTCATCGCGCCACTGCACCCCAGCCTGGAGTGACAGAGTGAGACCCCAACTCAAAAACGGTTGGGGGAGGGGAATACATAAATAACAAAGATTATCTAATCGGCAACATCCTTGGATAACATCGTATTCAATTTTAGGCCTTAATTACCGGTTCTATTGCAGACACCTGTTGAAATGCTCGTTATGAACCGTCTCACATTTTATGAGGCACGAAAATCTAAAGGTTCTGAGGAAAGAATGAATCAACCACAGACCCTCTTACACTCATGTCTGGGGGTGGTGCCTGGGGACACATGGATAAGGATGAGGGGACCTCAGCTCTGCAATTGTTTTTTTTGTTGTTGTTTTTTTGAGTTGGAGTCTCACTCCATCACCCAGACTGGAGTGCAGTGGCTGCTCCCGGCCACCGCAGCCTTGACCGCTGGGCTCCGGCGATCCTTCCGCCTCAGCCTTCCGAGTAGCTGGAATTACAGGCATGCGCTACCACGCCCGGCTGATTTTTTTGATTTTTATTGTAGAGATGAGGTCTCGCCAAGTTGCCCGGGCAGGTCACAAACCCGTGGGCTCAGGCAATTCACTCACCTTGGCCTCCCAAGGCGCGGGATTACAGGCTGAGCCACCGAGCCCGGCTTCAGCTCTGCAATTGTAACGACTGTGTTTCTCCTCAAGTACAGTGTGAGGACTTGCAGCATGGATTCCTGGACGTCTCTGGTCCCTGGAGATCGAGTGGGCGCAGCGCATCGTGCCTGGGCTCCGGTCACCCTGAGACAGAGATGTGTCCAGAGCTCTCCCGAGACCACCTCCTGGCATTCCCTCTCGGGATTTCCACCGTGCCCTTCTCATTTCACGTGTGACTCGGGAGACTCCACACCCAGTTAAACCTGCAGATTTAGCAGGGTTTGGGCAAATGGCAGCATCGGGCAGGCCAGGGAGGGCCAGCCTCAGCTTCAGGTCCACGTCTGGGCCAGGATGGATAGGCCGGCAGGTGACACTGACTCGGGTCAGGACAGTCCACAGGCTGTTGCCCACGCTGGAGTGCGATGCTGTGACCGGGCTCGCCACAGCCTCAGCCTCCTAGGCTCAAGAGCACCTCCCGCCTCAGCCTCCCCAAATGCTTGGACGACCCCAGACCGCCCACAGGACAAAGTGTGGTCTCAGCCTAAGCAGGCAGTGGGACCTCCAAATCAAAGGCAGCACGTTTGACACGCAGAGGTCGGCAGGGGAGACGCAAGGGAAGAAAAGCCCAGCCCTCCGCCTGGCCGACCCTCGTGAGAAATGCCATGCGATCACAGGTCCGTGGCTTCCTGACGCTTCCTTCTCTCAGACCACAGTTTTACTTCTCATCACTCCTTCACGTCAGCAAGCCACAGCTACTCTCCCTTCAGGCGGACACCTGGCTTCTTTGACACCATTGCTTAAGGGAAAACGAAATCCACAAGTTCCTCTTCGGGTCCTCCCACCCGGGTAGCTTACGTGTTCCAAAGAAAAGTCTCGAGACCGCAATTCGAATCTTTGGCCTGCTAAGAAAATATGAAGGCGGAGACGGGAAGGTGGAGCCTTCCTCCCTTTTGTGTGGGTTTGCATCTCAACCCCCTTGTTCTTGCCACCGCCCACCGCGGCCAACATGCCCGTAGAGACACAGCGGCTGGCATCTCTGGAGGTTTGCTTTCCTAAAGGAAATGTATGAATGAGAATCCAGGCGAAGTTAGAGGTTGTGTGGTTTGACCTCTGCCTACTCAATATGGAGTTCCGAACATTTTCTGCACACCTGCTCTGTGTGGCAAGCACTCTTCCAAGGGCATTCCTGTTAACATCTCCTCTAATCCTCGCGAAAACCCTGTCAGCCCCATGTTAGAAATAAAGGAAATTGAGACCTGGAGAGGGTCAGTGATTTGTACAAAGTCTCACTGTAAGCGGCAAATCCAGGAAGCGGGATTCAAATCCAGGAAGCCTGACTTTCGGCTCTGAAACACCGCATGATGCTGGATTGTTCCATCACCCCATCCACACAAGCCCTGATTATGTGCACCTGATTAACACGGTGTGTGGTGTTCGTCTAGAAAGACTCACGAAATGTTCGCTGCACAATTTCAAGCCCCAACTTCCTGGTTTCCACTTAAGCCGCTGCTCCTTAAGGAGATAAAGGAGATTACTTCTAGTATCTGGCAGATCCTCACCCCCAAGTAAGCAATCTGTATAAAACAAAAGCAAACAAGTAGACAAATTAAGAGGTAAAGGAGTCTGGCGCCAGAATCACAGTGCTTCCAAGAACACTGGACCACAAGTTGCTGCCTGGAAAGCCTCGAAGACCTGGCTTTACACCAGCAGCAGAGGCTGTCTGTGGTCTGTGGACCCCTGCTCAGGACAGAGCGGCTGGATGCTACGGACATTATCCATCCACCCTCCTTCTCCAGGGCCCATGCTGGGCTTGGAAGCCACATTGGCTCTGGGGTCTGCCTTGTGGCCGCGGCTGCCCATGTGCTGTGGAATTGTGCTGCGCTGTGTCTGCAGAGTCTCTTGAAAACGAATGAACATCATTTCGTCTTGAAAGTCTGCAGGAAAAGCTCCATTTCTTTTTACAAAACCATCAGGAAAGCCTCCATGTTCACATAATCCCCGAGATACATCCTCACCTCCCCTGTGGTCCAGCAGGCCCTGCCTTTCCAATTGGAAATAATTTCCAAATAAGTGGTCTGGCCTTGGACATGTTTAAGATGGAGAATGAATTTCCCAGTTTCGCTTGGGTTCCCTCAAGACTAATCTGGTTTGAGAAGAACTCCCAACCCTGACTTCTGAGCACTTCGCCTCATGGACTTGGTCATGGTCGTGCTGGCTCATTCAAGTGCTCTGCGTTCTTGACACCAGCACAGAACTGCCACGTTTCTGTTCATTCCAGAGTCAGAGCTGTCATAATCTACTGGTACATTTCACTGGATGTCCTCACGCTCTCAGTGTTTGTTGTGTCTATCAAAATATGACACAGTCATTTGGGGCACTGGCCATGACTGGATGAATATGACATTAAAAATGGGAAAATGAAGAACAGAACATGTTCTTGCTACTAAATATGATCAACACTATTAAAAAGAGATTATTGTTACTCTTGGGACATTCATTTAACAGTACAGGTAGGGTCTAACTTGTTACACAAAACATATCATAGCACAGTTTCAGTGGTTGAAAAGTCTTTTTTAAAAAATATACTAAGATGAAAAAATGTGTGCCAATTGCAAGCCAATATTATTGTTAGATTTCATTGTGTATTACTATTATTATTTTTGAATCGGAGTCTCCCTCCATCGCCCAAGCTGGAGTGCAGTAGCACGCTCACAGCAACCCCAGCGTTGACCTGCTGGGCTCCCAAAGTGCTGGGATGACAGACTGAGCCACCGAGCCCGGCCCATTGTGTTTTATTAACTTCAAGGTGGGACTTCAAAATTATCGTATATCTGTTTCAAATTAATACAGATTCCCCAAGCACCCTTGGGGACCTTCTGAAGCCCCAAGACTGTATTTTAGCAAATCTAATGAAATAGAGAGGAGAGAGCGCATATCTACCTGCACCCCACAGCATGGAGAGCATGGCTTTCTGCCCACACCTGAAATAAAGAGCACTTGGACACACGGGGCACATTATGCATAGCTGCAGAATTCCAAGCCAGTGAGCTGAGACAGAGGAAAGGGAAAGATTCACTTATGGCTGAATGCCTACCGTTTATTTCCTAATTCCACTGGAGAATATTTTCTAAAGTTCTTTCATTCCATAGTTTCTAAAATCCTATTTTTTTTTTTTTTTTAGCATTGTTCCAAGAGCAACAATGAGAGTGGGAGGCAGGGTCCTCCTAGGGGACCCGGGGACATCAAAATGCCAACGTCAGCTTTGAAAAGGCACGGGTCCACCCAGGGCGAGGGAGGGAGGAGGTGGCATTCCCCACTGGAGATGTGCACGTGTTGAGTTCTGCGCCCCGTGAAGCCCCAGGATGGTCGCCACCAGGGTTGCCTGAGAGATCCAGCTTTCCTTGCTCACAACCGCACATTCTTTGTTGCCCCAAAACATGCAGCGCTCGAAGAAGAGTCTTCCCAAGAATGAACTGCTCTTCCTTGATGTCCACGATATTCAGGTGCAGCTGCTTCAAACTAAACTATGGTATCTGGCCTACACAACTGAGGAATAAAGTCACTGTGCACACGGTAGCAAGTCCAGGCCTGGCCAATGATCTTCAATTCCCCACTATAACCACTGAATATATTTTGGGGGCCAGGCATGGTGGCTCACACCTGTAATCCCAGCACTTTGGGACGTCAAGGCAGGAGGATCCCTTGAGGCCAGGAGTTCAAAACTAGCCTGGGTAACACAGTGAGACCCTTTCTACAAGTATGTGTGGGGGTGGATTGGCAAAAAAATGTAAGCACATTTTAAGCGATGTTATCTATGCATTACTTTTCGAAGTTGAATTGAATTGTGGTAGCAAACCGTAGTATGACGTTTGCTCAGTCGTGCTTCTGTCATTTTCTTTGACTGTCCGGCCTGTCGCATTGTGACGCCAGCATTCATTTGCTTAAATGCCATCTTTGGGGCGAACGTCCTACTTAAAATGTGCATACCCCATCTAGACCCATCTGTTCCGTCCTGGTTCCCACGAGCAGCTCGAGCCCTCTGGCAAGCTGCGTCACACTCACCTGGAAGGCCTTGTGCATGTCTGCAAAGTCATCTGCACTGAGCTGGTCCTCCAGCAGGCCTGAGCCCCGGCCCGTGTCCCCAGCCACCCGCTCAACTTCCTCGCGGGGCCTCGGCCTGGGCTGGGACCCCGGATTCAGCCCATGGGAAGCCTTTAGGCAACTCATGCTGGCTTCTCCTCCTTGCAGACTACAACGCTTTCCAGGCACTGGGTTGCCTTTTTTCATCCACAGGTGCCTTTGAAAGGAAACCCGGCTTAGCAGCGGAATTCCAGGACGAAAGCACCAACCTCCCAAGGCAGAAGACAAGGAGGCCAAACGTCCAGCGGAGGCAGGCACTCCACGGAAGCCCTCAGCTGATTTCCAGAGTTTACAGCTGGCTGGTTTAAAAGCACCTCCTCCGTGCAGGGCGTAGCCTGGTCTGATTAAAGCTGCACACAGACTCCCCAGTGTATAGCCACGGACACAGAAAGCCACTTTCAGTCCTCGCTGCAAATGCATCGGCAGTGCAGCATTCCCGGATCCTGGCTAACCCGTGTCCTCCCCATGCCGCGGTTTCAGTTCTGTTTTCTGGTCTAGGGACCTGGAGTCTCCCTGCCAGAAGGCACTCCTCCTGGGAGGCCCCAGGCTGCCCTCCCGGGGACCTGGGCTGTTTGTTTCTTCTGCTCCTGACGCTTTTGTGTGTTTCCTGGCTACCAACACGAAGTAACTAACACATCTCCTTTCACACCGCCCCCACGGTGACTGACCTGAATGAAGGATTGAGCCTACACTGCCCATGTCCAGGTTTGTAACAAAAGGACTACACAGCCCTCCACTCTTTGTTAAACCACACCCTGAGTTGTTGAAAGCCAGCTTCTACAAACACATTTTCTATGAAGTTATGTCCTACAAAACGGGACGATTAGCCAAAGGAAAGAGCATGGAAATCCAGAATTTTATATTTAATGCACAGATAATTTTTTTGTTTGCTTGAGTTAGGTTCACACTAGGTCACCCACGATGGAGTGCAGTGGCACCATCTCCTCCTTTTAGTGGTTATTACTCGCACCAGTGATGACACTTGTGCGATGACAGCTCACCACAGACTCAACCTCCTGGGCTCAGGCCATCCTCCCTTCTCAGCCTCCTGAGTAGCAGGGACCATACCTGGCTAGAGAATGGCTTATTCTTACATAAGAATCCATGCCTTATATTCTCTTTGTCTTAGTTTCCAGTATACATAAAACAGGGATGGTTCAAAAAAGCTTTCAACTCATTGAAAGCGCAAGAAAAAAAACCACAGCATAACATAATAGGATACATCTGATGATAAAACTACTTATCGTCGTGGTGGCTCAAGCCTCTCATCCCAGCACTTTGGGAGGCCGAGACCAGAGGATGGCCTGTGCCCAGCCCGGGCAACTTGGTGAGACCTCGTCTCTACAATAAATCAAAAATTAGCCAGGCATGGTGGCACGCGCCTGCAGTTCCAGCTACTTGACTGAGGTGGAAGTATCGCCTGAGCCCAGCAGGTCGAGGCTGCGGTGGCCATGAGTGTGCCCCGCCCTCCAACCTGGGTGACAGAGCGAGACTCCAAATCCAGCCAAACCCAACCAAAACAGAAAACTACTTTTAGTGTCATCACCGGTGCGAGTAATAACCACTAAAAGGAGGAGAAAGAGAAGCAAAGTTTATGTTCTCTGAGCACCAACCCCGCACAGGCACTGAGACTTTACTGTTATGACCCGTTGAAGCTTCACAACAACCTGCAGGGTAAATATGATCATTACCTCGTGTTACGGTTAGAGGCAAAACGAAACAAAAGGCCCCAGCTCTGGGACTGCGTGGTAGGTGGACGCTGTCTGCACCTCACGTCCACTCTGTAAACTGAAAGAGGGCTGGGCTGTTCTCCTGGGTCTCTTCCTGCACTCAGCTCTCTGGCCTGGTGGGCCCTGAGCATGTGGGCCAACATAGGGAAGACATGCAAAAAGTAATAATAATAATTGACTGGGTGTGGTGGTGCAGGCCTGTAATTCCAGCACTTCAGGAGGCTGAGGTGGAGGGATCACTTGAGGCCAAGAGGTCTAGACCCACCTGGGCAACATAGGGAGACACCATCTCTATAAAAATAAAACATTAGCCGGGCATGGTGGTGTGTGCCTGTAGTCCCAGCTTCTCGGGAGGCTGTGGTGGGAGGTTGAGGCTACCGTGAGCCATAGTGATGCCACTGCATTCCAACCTGGGCAACAGAGTGAGACCCTCACTCAAAAAAATTTTTTTCCCTGAGTTATCTACCATGAGAACACAATTTGCCTTCCTACCATCCTAGTTAGTAAGTTAATAGGTTTGTTCTGCTAGATCAGTCTATGAACACTTGTAATTTTAAAAAATTTCAGTAGCTTTAGGGGGTGCAAATGATTTTTGGCTTTGTGGATGCATTGAACAGCAGTGAAGGAATCTGGGTTTTTTTTATTTTTTGTTTTTTTTTAAGATTAGAAACTATAATTTATTTTATTTTATTTATTTATTTATTTATTTTGAGTTGGAGTCTCATTCTGTCGCCCAGACTGGAGGGCAGTGGCCGCTCCCGGCCACCGCAGCCTCGACCCGCTGGGCTCTGGCGATCCTTCCGCCTCAGCCTTCCGAGGAGCCGGAATTCCAGGCATGCGCTACCACGCCCGGCTGATTTTTTGATTTACTGTAGAGATGAGGTCTCGCTGCCCAGGCGGGTCTCGAACCCGCGGGCTCAGGCAATCTAGTCACCTCAGCCTCCCAAAAGCGCGGGATGACAGGCTGAGCCACCGAGCCCGGCTTTATAATTTATTTTAAAATAAATGAGAGAGAGAGAGAGAAAGAGGAGATTCACCTCTCCAAGGCAGGGGAGGGGGCCAAAGCCAGGAAACATGGCCTGGCCAGGGGTCTGGGTCTTAAGTGCACCAATAACCGCCCACCCCCGCTCCCCATGCGCATCGTACCCAGGGGTGATCTTCATCCCTCCCGTCTCTCCCCTGCTGAGTCTCCAGGGTCCATGATGCTACCCTCTCTGCCTGTGCAGACCCTCAGCTTAGCTCCCATGGATGAGCAAAAGGTGAAAGTGTTAGATGGTCCGAAGAGAAACCAGAGTGTAGCTCCCACTTACCATATAAGTGAGGACATGCAGTGTTTGCCTTCCCTTCCCTTAGGCTGGTGGTCTCCAATTCCACCCATCCAATTCCATTCCATCGCTGCAAAGGCGCCTTGTTCTTTCTTATGTCTGAATAGTCTCCCATGGCATGAATGTATACACTCCATTTTCATTGCTCACTGATCAGTTCATGGGCATTCAGGCTGAGTCCACATCTTCGCAACTGTGAATCGTCCTGCACGGAACACGCAAGTGCAGGTGTCTCATAGAGTGGCCTCTGTCCTTATGGGTCGGTCCCTAGGAGTGGCCTGCTGGGTCGAATGGCAGATCTACCTTGAGTCCTCTGAGGGATCTCCAGACCCACTTCCATCGAGGCTTCCACATCCCAACGACAGTGTATCGGTGTTCCCTTTTCTCCACATCCACACCGGCATCTACTGCTTTTGGACTTTCTAATCACCGCTGTTCTAGCTGGTGTGAGGTGGTCTCTCCTCGAGGTTTGCTAGCCATATTCTGGAGAGCGGAGCTTGGCTCATAACAGACACTAAGGAGGGAAGGAAGAGGACATAGGAGAAACAGTCCGTGAGGCCTCACCCAGGGAGGTGGGCGTCCCACTGGCTGACAGGGCAAAGTTCTCATGACTCCAGAGATCCAACTACCCGGCCTACTCAGTGTCCATGGAGTGTCCCTTCCTCCTCCTCACGTGGCCCGAAGCCAGCTTCTCTTCCAGCCTCATCCTGCCAAGCCGTCTGGCATCCAGGCTGCTTCTGGCCCCGGGCCCCGTCTCCCTAGGAAGAGAAAGAAAGGCGTCTTCCTTGCCCTCTCGCCCCTGGACCTCACACGTCCCCAGCAGGGCTCCTCTGAGCAAAGACCCCAGCCCCAGGCCAAGAAACGTCCTCAGAGCCCAGGAAAGACCCCCTGCCTCTGGCCCCTTCAAGCCCTCAGCAGATAGGGCTTTCTTCCCTTCCTGGTCCCTGATCCCCCCTTCCATGCTGCACCCACAGCCACCTGTTTGGACTTGAGTCACAGCACCATCCTTTCTGTTTTGTGGCACACTCGCTGTCTGTGGGTCTCTCCCTCCCAGCAGACTAGCCCTGCGGGCAGGGAGGATGCCTCCCTCTTGCGGGAGCCCTACGCTGCCCCACACTGAGCTTTGCGTAAGCCACACAACGATGCCGGTGCCGTCACAGGACAGAGAAAGCAACACTTGCCTGGGACCCGAAGGACCTCAAGGAAGGGTCCTAGGTGCAGGCGGTGCTGGGTCGGCGGAAGGAAGCAGAACTCTGTGACAAAAGAAAACCTGACTCAAGGGACATGTTTAAAAGAGAAAGAGAAACAAAATTTGAGACTCTGTCTTCAAGCAACTTAGCAAATGAAACTACTCTGGCACTTTCTGAAACGCAGTATTTATTTCTATACATACCGTTTCTATGTCATATGTAAAGGTGTCTTAGGGCTCGCCTCGGTCCCAGATACTGCTCCAGGCCCCTGAAAAGCCAGGATGAGTGAGCTATGAGTCTCTGATCACACTGCTCAGAGACACGCACAGCAGGAAATGAAGGTTTAAGTTAGTCCTGTCTCTCTCTTTTTTTTTTTGAGTTGGAGTCTCACTCTGTCGCCCAGACTGGAGTGCAGTGGCCGCTCCCGGCCACCGCAGCCTCGACCTGCTGGGCTCCAGCAATCCTTCTGCCTCAGCCTTCCAAGTAGCCGGAACTACAGGCGTGCTCTACCACACCCGGCTAATTTCTTTTTATTTTATTGTAGAGATGAGGTCTCGTCAAGTTTCCTGGGCGGGTCTCAAACCCGTGGGCTCAGGCAATCCACTCGCCTCAGCCTCCCAAAGTGCTGGGATTGTAGTGACCGAATGTTCAATCCGCGAGACCACCAAGAGCCAATTCCAATGAACGTTCAAGAGGGTCTTTATTTGCAAGCTCGAGCCTGGACCTCTGTCAACAACCGACGCAGCAGAGTACACCCAGATGCCCTAACTTCCTTAAGCAGACACCTTTTATGTTTTTGCACAAAGGGAGGAGGAGTTTGGGGGAACTTTCCAGTCTTGTTGACCATTTAATTGGGTAGTAACCTTTGGTGGTCAGCTCAGTCGTGGAGGATTGGCTAGCTTGACTCAGGCTGACCTTGGCCCACTAGCTGAGGAAGTTGCAGAGACATTTGGAAACTTTAGGTGATTCTCCTCTCGCACCTGATTGGTTGTTGCTAAGGGGGAAGTGGGTCAAGGGAAGGGGTTGAAGCTTGAACTGGAGCTTTGCAGTTTTTCCCATAACTGAAATTTTAACAGCTACAGGTTATATTTTAAAGCAGAAAACTAAAATGGCTGTGCTATTGTCCACAAGCCAGTTACATATTTATTGGGTTATAGCATGCTCTTAACCTAAGT